TAAAAATTTTTATCGTTACTGTCTCTGTGTATGCACTTTATAATTTATCACGATAAAATCTCTTCGATACACACGTATAATATTCTTGAAACTCAGAGAATCCCAAAATCCAAAATCTCTTCAATACACATTTATAAGATTCTTGTTTTTAAAGCCAAAAAAAAAAAATAAAAAAAAAAGGTAAACTTCAAAAGAACATCTTTAAAGTCTGAGCAAAGTAGTCCGATTCATCCGCGCGTCCATTGGAATGCAACTTAACTATCCAGCAGACGGAATCTCAGCTCGCTAACTCGATATCTAACGATTGGCCTGGCCCATTTAAATTTCGTTCTCCTTCGCGTAACAGAGAATCTTACGGGTTGGATATCTTCGAGTCGTTCACCGCAACGGCTAATTGCATCGCATGTTGCTTTCCTTTTCCGGTTTCTGCGGCTTCGCGCAGGTTCACCGTGGAATGCGAGCGAAGTGTACAAAGCGCAATGATCATAGATCGTGGCCGAGCACCGACGAGGTAAAGAACGAGAGATTACGCGCGTCCATGGTCCCCGGAAGCCACGTGCACGCGCGCCACTGTACACGTGCTTGTAAATTCACGGCCGCGGCCAGCGTGTGCGTGCTCGTGTTCTCCACCACCCCGCAAAACGATAGAAGGTTTATGCAGTTCGCGCTCTCGTAACTTCTCTCCCCCTCATTACCCCTTTTTCTTTCTGTGAAACTGATGTTCGTTATGTCTTATGGCGGTGCAGAGTATAGAAACGACGCTTGATTGTATTGACGCGTGGTGAGACAATTAAATAAAGAACAGAGAAGGAAGATTTATGATCTCTCTTGCGTAGTGTGTGTGCGATATTCTATTAGTAAATTGATCAATAGATTATTAATTTGTCATTAGGCTAGCAGATTGGTTAATGGACCGTGAATTGCAACTTCAAATTGTGTTTGTTTCATTATTTTCAGAATAATGAGTTTAATCTGACAAAGATCAACGACGACATTACGCGACGATAACTCGTGCAAATGTACAAAGTTCACTGAGGAACCAATTAAAGAATAGAAATTTCGTTTCGTCTAGTCAAATACGTTGTACTGACCAATTTACTTCGTAGCTTTATAAATTTATGCACGTTCGCAGCTCTCGTAGATTCATAAGCGTTAGCAGTGTAAACGTATCGTTCTTCTCAACGAAATGGCCGGGTAAGAACGATTTCTCACGAAAGAGGTCTTTCGGCACATTACGAGATTTGTAATCGTTGCCGGTTCGCGGGCGATCGTTAATAAATGGCGGCGCGCCTGCGCGGCATTCAAAATGCGCGCGAAACGCGCGTGAGATACGAGCGATGCAAATAACCGGGTACGAAGCGGCGCGGCGGCACAATGCGATGAAGCTTTGGGAAATATTTTATTGCGGCTCACACGCACGAATCGACGTAATTCACACTTTGACCGTCGAACCGATAAATATCCTGGTGTTCGTGATCGCGCGCGCGCGCGCACTTCTTCCCTTCTCTCGTGGGAGCCCGTGGCATTCCACGAAGCGAGTAAACGAGTAAATTTGTAGGTAGAATCTCCCCCGGACCCGGATCGAGTCCCATAAGTCACGTCTCGAATACAGTGTTTAACCTGCGAGAGCTTATCGCCGATCGTTATCCCTGGTTCCACCTCTAGTACGAGTGTACGCTCATGCGTGCACGCTTGCCCATTTTAACCCTTTCTTGCCTCCGTGGTTTTAGAACGAGACCTTTTCTCACACGATTCGTTGGCTTTTCTTTAAAACCAGCGCGCGGGATCAGTCAGTAGAAATTCTTTAAATGTTTTAAATGTTTAATTATTTATACATAAATAGTATTCATATTATGCTGTTTATATTAATTTAGTTTAGTTTAGTTTAGTCTTTATATTATACCATTTATATTACATAGGTAGTGTATATTATACTATTTATATTACATAAATAGTGTATATTATACTATTTATATTACATAAATAGTGTTTCTATAATAGTATATGTCACTCGATGATCTTTGTAGATCGCTGACGACTGAATTATACTTCAGTATAAAATTAAAAGTATAAAATTTGTAAACGTTGTGTATGTTTCTATGTATTATCATTAAAAGTTCCAAGTTCTATCAAATATTCGTAGAAATTCGTAGGGTTAAGTAATTATAACATAATGTTCGATCATTGAAATATATTGCATTTGAAAATAGCTAACCGTGAAGATATGAGTGATGTAAGAGAAGAAAACAATCGAGATGATTTAATGAGACTTATAAAATTATCCCATAATATCAAATTTTTTTATACCTATGGTCAAAGCAACTTTTTGAAATCAATTTACAAGATATATATAATAATGTCGTACGTCAACTCTGACAAACTGTTTCAATTATGAGACATAACAGTATCCATAGATAATATCAACCATCGTTACATTCAATTTCCGGTGATTATAAGATAACTGAAATAAAAAGATTCAGTGATTTTATTTTTTCTAATCATATTTTTTTTAAATTCTTCGAATTCGCCGTACAATTTGGAAATTTTCGTGTTCACGTTCATATAAATATTATGAAAGTTTTATTTCATTTGGTACTAGAAAAATAATAAGTCTCGTTGCCCTTATGGTAATAATAATTGACTTTTAATGATTAGTTATAATAGTTATTGATTTACGTTTTCGATTAAAATTGAATAATTATTCAAAATTAAAATTATAGTTTATTATTTAAAATTTTAGAGCTTTTAAATTTCGAGGCCTGATGCGTCAAAATTAGGTATTCCAAGCCCTCGAATTCTAAGATCTATAGTTTCAAAACTCTCGAATTATAATTTTGAAACTTTCACTTCGTAAAGCTCTATATTTGCAGATTTTAATATTTCAAATTTAAAAAATTAGAGCTCTCGAATTCTATGGTTTAGAATTTGGGAAGCTCTTAAATTTTACGACTTTGCAAGATTTCCGTTTGATAAGTAAACAAACTTCTAATTCTGAAAAACTCGTAATTCATCGAAACTTCCTCCAAATTATAAAGAAAATCATATCCCCAAGGATTCATCGAATTTATTTATATCAAGATTGAGACAGGCATTGAGGAACTTCTTAAGCAGATATGCAAATACGTTTAGATGGTAATTGCTCTAGATATTCATGGAATGTTAGAAACGGTACTAGTTAGCGGAGCTACGACACGCTGAGCGATTTTCTAGCTCGTCAGATCGAGTCGTTTCCGATCGTCATCGATCAGATACCTTCGTTAAAACTGTTTCAAGATCCTTGTCCTGACTGGTCTTGACCGCGTAATGCAATTTCCGTACTGTTTGTACAGTCAGTCACGAAAGTCCGTTTACAATGTATTTATCAAGTCACTTCATAAATTAACAATTTTTGAATTTGCCAAATTTCAAATATAAAAGATACTAGTCCATTCATTAATTAATTAATATTTGAAATTTCAATATTAATAGAATGTACATTAAACAACAATATTAAAAAGAAAACGTCTAATTTTAACTAGTTAATTAATTAATTAAAATCGGCACAACCAAATTCGTCAACACAAGTAATTTAAAATTACTTCTATTTAGAAGCATAATTGTACATAATTCATTCTACTTTAATTATCATCGTTTAAATTATAACGATTTGTATGTAGAATGTTTCGATACGTGTAAAAAAATTCTACGATTTTTTATTCTACCATTAATTATAGTCCAAGATTCTTCATTCTCTTTCTCTTTAAAATTTTTTTAAATATTTGAAGTTTCATAAATGTGGACTTCTATGGCCGGCTCTGTACGATCTAGAAAATTAATAATCGTCAGTTCAAGCGGGATTCTAGAAGTGATCGTCGCCGGCCGTTAGATAGGAAAAGTCCGTAAAAGGAGTGGAGTATCAGTCGGGAACACGGTTGTCGGACGGCCCCGCAGCCATGGGCAAAAAGTGGTAGCGGCCAGTTTTGTTAGCTACGCTTCAATTGGCAAGTTGACGTTAAACAGCCGCCGCCGAGATGAATGATAGTGACAATTCTAATTAAGCGGCTACCCGATTGAGTCAGTCCGTATTAATTACCGACGGGCCTCGTGGCACGTGCTACCGACTACGCGTGCCACCCCCTTTGATCTCTTTTCCAACACCCCGTGCGTCACAGATTTTCGGGGGCAGCGTTCACGTTTGCGTCTGGGATCTAGAATTTCGAAGATTTCGAAATTTTGAGACTTACAGCTTGTTTGATCTGACTTGCATCAATTGGAGGGTTACGTGAAATTTTAAGGTTTCGAGGGTTATAGCGCTTTGAGAGTTTGCGGTTTTTTGAGAAACTTTAGAGAAACTTGGAGTCCACAAATTCTGCGATCTGTGAGGGATTTTGAAATTTTGGAATTCTAAAGGATGATCAAAAACTACGAATCGAATTCTGTAATTTAAGATATAATTCAAGAGTTTTAGGAACACTCAGAAGCTTCAGAGCAACAGAATTTTAAAATTAAAAATCTTAGAACTCTAACGCTCAGAGATTTAGAGATTAAAAGCTGGTGATTTGAAGCCTCCGAATATTAAGATTTAGACTTATTATTAAATTTATATTAATAAAACTGTATATTTCGAAATTTCGAATCACGAAACACAAGATCTTGAACTCACCAAGCTCTCCATCAACTTCTCAAAATACACAAATTCGATAATGTTTCTATCAAACACCAAAACATTCTTTACCTAAAATTACATACTCTACAACTGTCGAAATACACAAATATAACATTTTTATCACATGGAAAACAAAAATGAATTCTGCCATAAAAATAGTGTATCATTGACTTATAAATTCTAAATTCTCTCATCAAGAAATTCTCGACGTAATGTTCAATATTTCTGTCTGAAAATAAAAAATAAAAAAAGAAAGAAAGAATACCAGCCTAGAAATAACGTTCCGCTTACAGCTTTAAATACACAAATCCATCGAAGATCAAAAGAATTCTCACAGTTAACATACTCTTCGCAGGGGACCTGAAGAGGCGACACTCTTGGAGCAGCGAGGTCGACAACCAACCGGCGGAAACGGAAGCCGTAGCGACACCGGGAGGTGATCCCGCTGGCCCATCCTCGGACGAAGAGGACAGAGCCTCGTACAAGGTAAACCCGGCGATCTTTCTAATTGCGGCCGTGAAAATCTGCTCGTGAAACACGTGTGCGCCTCAGACGCCTTAATTCCGTGCACAGCCGGTAAAACACAATGTACCCTTTGTTTTACGAAATCACGATTCCCTGGTCCCGTTTCGCCGAGTAATTAAGTAACTTGAAAGGCGTGTACTTGCTTCAAATGGTATTGCTCCTGTTTTCCTTTTTTTTTTTCTTTTTCTTTTTCTTCTCTTACGTGGAATTTTTGCAACGACTTGCAAGGAGAATCGGCAGATTGAAACGGGACCGCCGATAATTGGCTTTTACGCGGCTCGATACGTGAATCGAATTAGCTTTTAGCCGAGAGTCGGATTTTAATTATTTTAACACACGATCGACCATCTTGCATAATTGATACTCGTACGGCGTCGAATGGTAATTTGTTTTTTTTTTTTCTTTCTTTCCTTTTCGTCTCTTTCGCGATCGTAAGAATTTTGCTTGGGCAAAGAGACTCGAGTCCATAAAATCGAATGTTTATTTTGTTTGGTTACTCGAACCCTTGGAACTTTAAATTACGGGGTTGGACTTATTTACTTCCAGTAATCTGGCTCGTTTACTCGTTTAGTTTTCGTATTTCAATCTCTCTCTCTCTCTTTCTTCTCGACTTGTAATTAATAAATTTGTGTTTGACATTTCTGTAGTTGATACTTTGCGAACATTGTGCAATAGTATCGTGTACGATGTACATCTTAGTAATCGAAAGTTTCGAGCACCGTTTATTTTTCTCAACGTCTTCGTACGTTTTTCTGAAAGAAACAAAAATATCATAATTGCCTATTTTTCCTAGATATTCTGCAGTGTAATGATAAGAATTAATAAAACTAGTATAATAATAAAAATTGATAACTGTAGTAAAAGTTAATAATAATTTTTCGGTGAAAATCATATGCAGTATAGTAATAAAAATTAATAAAAATCAACAAAATCACTGTTAATAATAAAATGGAAAAAGTCCAATCAATTTACAATCAACGTGCGCCATAAATTCTCCCCATCGGGGATCAAAGGTTACGATAAATCCTTGCGTCCAAACAGATAATCCATCTTTATTGATAGAACGTCAAAGCCATCGATCCTGTCCGCGCATGTTCTATTAAACATCAGCTCTGAAAAGCAGAATTCATACGCACGGGGAATACAAAGCACGGCCCGTTAAATATGACGTAATAAATGCACGGCGGTAAAGCATAGTAACTCTGCCAGTTAGCTCTGGAATTACACGGATGGCAGACGACTTAAATCAAACGGCGCGGGCCCGGACTTGCGAGCGTTAATTGCTAGAGAGTAGCGCGTCTCGTCCACCAAAGGGACTTTATTGCGGCGGAAAATCAGGCACGGTCCCGTTAGCGGCCATCTGCGTGGCACGGCAAAGAGCATAAACGTGTAAATGGCTGATAATAATCCGGTCGACCAAGGGAGGCAGGGGGGCGCGAATAGTCTTCCGCGAATAGTCGCGCGAACCACGGATTTTACGAGCCCGTGGACCACCTTCCTTCTGCTCACCTACGCTCTTTATCTCTCTCTCTCTCTCTCTTTTTCTCTCGGCCAATAGCTCTCGAAGAATTCAGGATTTCGTTGTCGTGAAAACTTGGCAGAGTTGTGTGCTTCAAGAGGACGACATTTTTAATGCCTTCGTGATTACCGCGCTGGAGGTACATTAATCGAATGGGACCACCTCGATCGAGGACGTGTGCCACGTCGAGATATCTTAGCCTTGTTTCCCTAAGTTTCGTACACTTAGAGTCCTCCTTTCTTTTACATTTTATTCTAAATGAAACATTTGCTACTCGATCAAATGCGAAACGTAGATCGTTGGCGATCGAGATTTTCATTCAGGTGACGATGAAAACTAGTTGCAACGAATTTTCTATATTGATTTGGTTTCAATTTTAATGTATATTTGATTCTTTGGTTTTCTTATATGTTACATTTTATTATAAATTTGCAATCTCATTTTCGAGCAAAACCTTACTCGAGGTTTTCATTCGGTTCAGATGATGATTGAAATTAACTCGATGAAGGGGAATGAAATTGATTGTAGCAATAAGACCTTTGGGAATTTTCTAATTGATGTATTCAGTTCTCTTTCAATCATTCTTCGTGGATCTTTCATATCTATACGATCTGAAATGAATGTTAAATTTTGATCCAGGCATTCAACTGTGAACTGGTTTTCTTAGTTGCGTTGCAAGCACGTTAATTCCAACATTGTTGCCGAGGAAATGGAAACTGTAATTCACCGGAGCTATCAGGGATAGCGCTAGTAAAGCACGAAGCATTCCTTTTCGTATCGATTACAGCGTTTCTCGATCGCGCAGATAGAACCAGCCGTGTTCGCAACATTTTTCGCTAATGCTGATCTCAACATTGTTCTTGGATAACAGAAGAATTTTCCGAACTATTAACAGGAATAATGAATTAAATCCGCGCGCCTTACAACTTCTGTAGACTTCTTTTCCTCAACTAAGGATCGAACATCAATTTAATTCGAATGTTCTCGAAATTTATATCTTCGTGCTTAGTTCAATTGAATTTCCACTCTAACGTATGTACATATTCTTACGAGCTTAGCTTCATTCATCTTCTGAAATTAATTTTAAACGAAATTCCAGAAATATACAACACGCATATATATGTATGTACATGTAAAAATATTTAAAATATCTAAAAATAGTAATTGGTAAATATATTACATTATTTAATAACTAAAGCAATCGTTCCTAAAACCTACATTTTATTTTTCAAGTTGCACAAATGAACCATTGCAAATATCAAGAAAAAAAAATTAGTAACTAAATAAATAAAATAAAATAAAATAAAATAAAATAAAATAAAATAAAATAAATTAGTAAATAAATTACAAATATCCACAACCTAAAATAACAGTTCAACGGGGTCGGAGTTGAACAAACACACTTAAAAAAGAAAAAAAGAAAAGACCATCTCCACCGTCCGGAGAGAAAACCATCCGAAAATAAGGAACAGTACGAAAACGCGAGACGATCGAAAGACCGGCGAGTCCCGCCGATGGGGATGGCAAAAGTGGTGGCGTGCACGGTAATTCGAGCTAAGAGGTTGTAATTAACATCGCGCCAGTCGGCGGAGAAAGGCGGACGCGAAACGAAAGGGAACAGGAAAGCGGAGGGCCGAGCTCTTGGACGTTCGAGCAACAGGGAACGGGGCTACGAGAGAGAAACTCTCGGCGAGGAGAGGTCGCGAGAGGTTAAATATTCCGGGAAGGGAACCAGCGACGATCTTGCGAACACGCAGAGTAAAAACGTGGAAACGCGTGACCTTTAAATCAATCACAGGTTTGGGGCCGCGCCGGCACAGACTTTATTCTCACGCTCGCCGGGGAGTTCCATTCGATTCGTTCTATTTCTTTCTTCTCCCGTTCGCCTCTCGCGCAGCGTGCCGCGATGCTGCGAGTCGAAGCGAGACGCACGGAAGACGCCGTGGTTCGGCTTCGGTAACTTGCAATTTCAACCGTTCAACTTCAACTTCTTTTCCCCTCCGTCGGCGCGGTGCGAATGACCGACCTTTGCGCCGATCGCGATTTCGAGGAAAAATTTGAGATTGTAGGGAAAGTGGCGAGAAATCTCTCTCGAGTTGGATCGTCGGAAATTTTTTTCCTTGCGGAGGAATGTTTCTTCCTTTTTTTAAACAGAGGAGGAGGACTAGTTTCCGTGCAACGTGATGGTGAATTAAGAAATTCCGATTGTCTGACGTTTAACCCCCTTGCGCTGGCAACTGGTTCGCGGACCATAACGAGTGACCGAACCGTATACAATAATTTGTCACTTTCTGTTTCTTTTGAACTCGCCGGTATGACATTACTGGATCGAAATTATTGAGTAGTAATAAACTTATCATTTGTTTCACCTGAGTTATATTTAAATATACACAAAACCGGAGCTAGAGAGAAATATTTTTATTTTTTCATGTGTGTAGTTACATACAGAAATAGTCTTGTGCAATAAATGTTTCATTAAAATATAAGAAAATAATATTTCAGCAAATAGCAATATTTGCTGAATAGAATAGTATTTAGAATAATGGTATCGCAACTAACACTATATATATATATACGCATACACGTATCACGTTTATATCTCATATATACGTATACACGTTTATATAATTTTACAATGATACCTTTATAAAAATATACCAACCCCAATTTTCGATAAACTGCAATTGGCGTTAGTTGATTTATATTTGTACAAAAGTTGAATTGCCAAAGGTCTTTCACTTTTCGTCATTAAAAACGTGAAATTTCCTACGTTTCATCGTCGAGATTAAAATTCCTAACGAAAGATGAAATGAAAAAAAAATTCGCGTAATATCTCATGAGCTTCGACGACGTATCCCTGAGAGTGATTCGGCAGGATCAAAGGGTCTCAATGGCAATAGAAAGTGCACAAGTCAGTTGCTACGTCTTCATATTCATCTTTCACGTCGTGACTCGCCGATTCCATTTTCTGCGTCTTCAGCAGTCTTCGTTTATTGTGGGAATGCCGCGGCACGTTTGTTACTCAAAGATCATCGACTGAGCTATACCGTTGAATGAGCATCTTGTTCCTTTCGTGCAAGCAACCGATTAATGTCGCTTCTCATATGATCGTAAACTAGAGGTAAAGACTAAAAGTACCATTTATCGATTTTTGTACTTTTCTTATACTTTTCTGCTCGCAGTTACTCAATACACATATATGTCGTGACAATTGTAGTATGTAACAACAAACTCGTGACCATAATCTTGAAACAAATCTTGTAACAGACTTAGATTCATATTTGACAATATTTGTATTCTCATTGTTAAAACAGACATGTGAGAAATCAAAGAGTCTGAGGATCCATCTCGACAATAGAAGTTTAGCCCTTTGAGTGTACTAGAATATTATATAGATAAATTTATAGAGAATCTGAGGAGTCTGAGAATCCACCTCGACAGT